AAAAAAAAAGAAAACAATCGTTGGTTAAAAGAGTGTTCTTAAAACAATATTTACAACATATCCTATAACTTTTGTGCGATTTATAACGGCACTAGTTGTTCTAAAGAATACGATCTATCACTGGTGGCATTTATGTTCTATGTAACTACACTCTCGGGCAAAAGTCTTTCCCCCTCTTTATTTCTATACTATCATACTTTGCATCAAATTTATTGTCGAGTAAAGATATGACATAAGAGTTTTATTTCAATATGGTATAGATCCCACTGCAATAAAACTCTTATGTCATATCTTTATTTGGTCATAAATTTGATGCAGATTTTGATAGCATAGAAACAAAGAGGGGGAAAGACTTTCATCCGGAGGTATAAATAACTTAAAGAAAGAAAATTAAACCTTTTTCAGCCAAAGTTATTTAAGTAAGTTGCTTATGTTGAGGATTGGCTCGTATAAATACAATTGGTTTAAAACGAAATGCACCACCAGCTTAGTTATTAGTTTCTAGCTAGTTTGAATGAATATGATTATCTACGAAGAAACATTTTACAGAAAAAGAGCGATTGAGTAAACGTTGAGAAGGACTTTAGAAATTTTGGTGTCTGTTTCGAAAAGCAACTAGGCATCTTTATGCGAAAAGAAATATGTCCTCATACATAGGAGGGTATTTCAAAAAACACATCTCATTGAAAATCCTTAGAGATATATTTTTTCAATTACGAATGAGATTTTCCATGATAAGAACATGTTAGAATTTCTAGAAGAAAGTGCACAGATGAAACGATGTATTAACTAATGGACAGCGGGTTTTTACCGAAGATGTTCTTATTTCAGAAAGATCTCGTCATGTGTGACACATTTGGATGGGCACCGCATTAATTAGGTCCCATAATCGTTGGAAGGAATATTTTCGAAAAGTAAATCTAGTAAGTTTCTTCACAGTACGCTGCAAAGGAGCATCAAAGTGACCTTAAGACACGCTTTTTTTATACAGAAAACTTTCTTTTTATTAACTGCTGTTTCCTATTAGCTTTGTCTCATGAGTTGTCCAACTCAGAGCTAACATGTTGCTAAGACGATGGAAGCAAAATATTGTCCATACTAAAAAAAACTTATATATTAACATATGCATAAATGCTAAAAAAATCAAAAAGCTTTAGAAATCATTAAAACGACCAATTTTCATAGGGGGTCCTCTAAACTATCTTTTGCTGTGTTTGTCCAAGAGAGTCTTCTACTATGGAGAGGTCTTCTAATGTGTCGAGGGCTTTATTCAACGTGTACTCTAAAACGACACCAATCTGGGTTTCATTCAAGTGTCAGCAATGGAGATCGGATCCTCCTAAAATGGCGATTTTGGTCAAAATCATGATTTTGTAGAAGATTTCCTGAACGGTAGGGATCGTGTAGAAAGCTGAAATTTTTATTAGACTATGTGCTCAATGAGATCTCTCCATAGCCAATATTTCAACTCTCTAATATGATTCTTTCATGAGAGAGGCATGTACATAAAATAGTGGAAAATGACTCTTTTCCCATGTATCTTATAGCACTTCAGAATTCGTCAATAGTTCATCAATTTGAGCTCGGATTCTTTTTCGGCAATACACAATTATGATATCTAATCAAAGTAAAAGTTTCAAATCAATTGCACGTATCCTTGATGAGATAAAGAGGTCACAAAATATGACAAAAAATGCACTTTTTTTGATGATAATGCCCTCAGAAAAATTTCAATATCTCGAGAATAGAGCAATATTTTTTTAAAACGGCTTGCGTCAAAATTCTCAGAACTCTTCCTCTACAACAAATATAAAATTGAGCAAAATCGGACGATCTCGATTGAGCAGCTCTTATGGAAACTGGTCGTGGCTTATGGAAACTGACACATAAACAGGATAGTGATATTTGGTGCTACCATTTGTCCAGGTAAATTTCAAGATCCAAAAGTTTTGATTACATATTTAAGTAGTAACAGGTTAGTAGCAGGCTTCGTAGTCGTCCTATATTTCCTATATGTTCGAAAAAGGTACTATAATATCCTATCTTTCAGACATTTTTCCTACATTTCCTGTATATTCGAAAAAGTGAAAAAAATGCTTTTGAAAAGCTTTGTATTTGTCGGGAAAAGACAAGCATGCTTCTTTATGTATAATTGGTTCTCTGAATAACAATATAAATAAAAGCTAGCGGTAGTATATCCAAATTTTTCAGTCTAACATCATATTTATTGGGATGCTTTATTCATTCTGTTCTGCAGATAGAGATGTAAACCACACCAGTGACGGTTCTTTGTTCTCTTCGACCACAATGACGCCTTGTCGTCGGCTATGTACAAGTGAACAAAGGCTGTTGGCCGAGCAACCTACACCTCTATCTGCAGATTTTTATGAAAATGACTTAGATATTAGTGGACTCACACTGAATTTTATATTATATCATCTTACTAATGATTAATATGAGATGTAATACTTCTTTTCGCAAACGTATGCGTTGTATGGCAGTACTTTGCGCTAAGAACGTCATAAAGATAGAAAGTTAAAATATATTCGACGAAATCCTAAGCATGATATCCTAACGTTTACGAATCACACGACATTTTTCGAGTTTAGCTAGTGGTTTCCTTTTCTAAAGCATCATTTCGGCAAAAGAGGTTCCAGAATTAGTTCTTTTTCGAGATAGAACTGAAAACAGTGAAGAAAATAGACGCTAGTGTCTTTTACTCAGTCACCTTTCACATTACAGCTATGAGAAGACAGCTGATGCTAGCCATTACTAGTAGAGAAGATTCAACGATCAATGCACTATATGCTCATGGAGAAAGCATTGATAATGATTAAAAAATCATATCATAATAATTGTGTTTGTTACATCTACTATTTATTATATTGCTGTTTCTAAACATTTAACTAAAATGAAAACTTTTTGCAATATCGATAGCAAAACAAACAGTCACACCACTGCGTTGTTTTTGCGAGAGATTTTTTCTAGTCTTATAATTAAAACATTGTCGAGTATCAAGCGAGGTTTATTAGAAATTCCGCACCTGAAAGTTACAAATGCTCCATACTGAAATTCGCATTCCTAATTTTGTTAGAAGCTCATTTAATTTGGGTGTGGAGTGGGTGTGTGTGGGTATGGGTGTGCGTGTGGGTGTGTGGGTGTAGGTGCGAATGTGAAGAGAATTCAAACCACCCACACCGTTTATTGGTATGAAGAATTGTGACTTAGAAAAGTCTGAATAAGAGATTTGCAAATTTTAAGATGAAGATTTTATTGACACGTGTTTCGGCTTGATGAGCCTTTTTCAAAATATCTTAAAAATTAAGCAAATCATTTTAAGAATATTAATAACAAATTTTTTACAGAAAAAAAGAAAAAATATATAGTAAGATGTAGATAGTGAGTTACATGTTGTACAAGCAAGATTGGTGAGAGAAAGAATATATGATTACACTTAGAAAAGTGTCTATATAGCTGAAGATAGATGATTAAATGATTTGTACACTTTTTTTATATGTTGTGTATAGACAAAGAAGAGAAAAAAGAATAATGATAGTCAGCGAGTGAAATAAGGTCAGTTATATAATGTATAGTCGAAGTGAGAAAATGGGATAGAACAAAAAAAAAAGGAGAAAAGCAGGAAAGGGATAAGTGATCAAATTTCTTGTTAAATTAGTGTCTCTATAATTGGAAAAAAGATAAATAAATGATTTGTATATGCTTTTTATATGTTGTATATGGATAACGATGATGATTGATAGTATATGAAAAAATGTATGAAAAAATATAGTAGAAAGAACGTACACCCACACCCTCACCCTCACCCACACCCACACCCACACCCACACCCACACCCACACCCACACCCACACCCACACCTCCACACCCACCCCACCCACACCCACACCCACACCCACCATAGGACAATCTATCTATATACATAATACTGAGTGCCTACATGTCTGTTACCGGAGGAAAAGCTAAACGTCTGAGGTCATCCGTTAAAGAAGAAAATAGCCGTGCAGTATGCACGGATTCTGGCTAGTACGCTACATAAATTGTTCAGATACGACTAACATATAGTATGTTTGAGGAAGAAACAATTATACTTTTAGACGCTTGATTTAAAAAAAATTCTTTTGATAAAAAAGTGTGTTGCGACACAAAACAGCCTCATGAGAGATATGCTACAAGCTGGAATAGAGCCGATGGTGGTAGTATGTTTAGAGATTATAGAACAGTAGATATGTTCATTTAGGCGTAGTTTAATTCAGTTGGTTCACTATTCTCAATAAGAAAACACCGATTTTGAATTCGGATAAAGAGAAATTTAGAGCAACAATCTGCAGAATGTATTGACATTGGTCAGTATATGATTTAAGTCAAGGGAGAAACGGCGAATTTTTGGGATTTCAAATTCTCAAAAATCCGTTGAAAATCCTTAAACGCCCTGGAGTACGGTGATAATCTCGGAAATACGATGATAATCCCTAGAGTATGGTGACAATACTAGAAGTACAATGTGTCATATGGCGATATTCATAAGTCATCATCGCCGATCCTATGGATGCACCCATAAATCTTCAAGGTATATCCGACGGGAATACTCAGAAGTGCTTAAGGCCTATCATATGCTGGCACCCAAAAGTCTCCAAGGTTTATGCTATGAAGGTGCCCATAAGTCCTCAAGAGCTACCCTATGGGTGTACCCATAAGTCTTCATTATCTATCCTATGGAGACACTGACAAGGCTTCAGAGCCTATCTTATGCGCGCACCTATAAGTCTTTGAGGACTATTCTATGAGGTCCTCATAAGTCTTCAAGGCCTATACTTTGGGATATCCATAAGTTCTCATTGCTTAACCTATGGACGTACCCATAAGGCCCCATAGCCTATCCTATGGAAGTACCTAAACGTCTTCAAGGCCTATCCTATGGAAGTACCTAAACGTCTTCAAGGGATATTCTATGAGGGTACCTATAAGTTGGTGTGTGACAGCTCCAGTTCAGTTCGATGACCCAGAGCTCCTCAACGAGCTCTCGTTCACATAAGTTCCAGCTGTGTACCGGCTCTTCGAATCAGCTCTAGCGAGCTGTGAACTCAGACATGTCATGCACCGAATGTTAAGCCGATCTTTGATTAAAGAAAAAGTCAAAGTTGACCCAAGTTTGCCAAACCCAATCCCTCGACATAATACTAATTGTGAAGTAAAACCACTCCATAACATAATTCGGTTTGATGCAGCTGAGAGAAAATAGTCCATATCTGCTTCTTAAAGGAAAACTCAAGTACAAGACTCTTACATTACCTCCTGCATCAGTGGTTCGTACTACGTCCAACTCCAATTACTGCATGACTTACAAATGGCATCTTTATCACAGTTTTGCGCCCTGTGCTAAAAGTCCTTTAAAACCTATGACGACTAACGCTAGATATCTCTTGAATAGTGAGCGGTATCCGGCATCTCTTCACGGTATAGCTCTTGAAGAGTAACCAGAACTACAGGAATACAGTGCTTGAAAAGTTAACGATACAAAACTTCGATAACTCTCAGTGGCTTATGAATACTGCTCAAAGAAAGCACTTGCAGATTTATGGGTAGCTTCACAGGAAAGCGCATGAGGATTTGTGGATACCTAAATTGGATAGGCAATGAGGGCCTATGGATGCTCCCATAGTATAGACCTTCAGGATCCATGAGTGTCTCCATAAGATAGTCCGCGAGGAATTAAGGATATCCCTATAGGATAGGCTATGGGGACTTATGAGTACCTTCATAAGATAGGCAATGAGAATTTATGGATACCTCATAGGATATCCCATGAGGACTTATGGATATTTCCACAGGATAGTCCGTGGGGACTTATGGGTATATCCATGCGATAGGCTATGAGGATTTATGGGTACATCCATAGGACAGGCCTTTAGGACTTATGGATACTTTTAGGATAGCCTTTGAGGACTTATGGATACCCTATAGGGGAGTTCATGAGGACTTATGAGTACTTCCATGGTATAGGCAATCAGGACTTATGGATACTACCATAGAATAGGCCTTGAGGACTTATTGGTAATTGCGCAGCACAGCTCTGGAGGACCCGCTCCAGCTTCCGTGGGCTAGAGGTCTCAAACACCTACTGAAGACTTGGAACTATCATGCGCACTGCCCAAATAAAATAAAAATCTAGAACATGAAACGATGAGGGATTCGGAGTACAATGTCAATCCCAAAAATCCCATGAAAATCCCGAAAATCCCGTAAAAATCCCTGAAATCTCATGAAAACCTCGAAATCCCGCGTAAATTCCAAAATCTGCTGAAAATCTTATGGCAATCCGCAAAATCCTAAAAATACGGAAAAAATCCTGAAAATCCCAAAAATACGCAATCCGTCATTTCCCCCTTGATTTTGAGAGTCTTGTTCTAATTCTCCAAGTTCTGAGTCAACTTCTTCGTCATCATTGTCATCACTAGTATGTTTGGCCTGTTTATTTTTGATGATTACTTTATCTATTGATAACTTTCGGGCACAGGATTCCCTGGATTCCTAGGATTCCCATAGGATTCCCTGGATTCCAAGGATTCCCGTGGGATTCCCTGGATTCCCGTAGGATTCCCTGGATTCACGCGGGGTTCCCTGGATTCCCGTGGGGTTCCCTGGATTCCCGTGGGATTCCCTGGATTCCCAGGATTTCTAAGATTCCCAGGATTCCAATGGGATTCCCATGGGATTCGGAATCCCGGGAATCCGCCGTTTCCCCGTTGCCCACACCCACACCCCACATCCACACCCACACCCTCACGCCCACACCCACACCCTCACGCCCACACCCACACCCTCACGCCCACATCCACACCCACACCCACACCCCACATCCACACCCACACGCACACCCACACCCACACCCACACCCACACCCACACCCACACCCACACCCAGCCACACCCACACCCACACCCACACTCACACCCATACCCACACCCACATCCACACCCATGTTGAACAGCTTGAGCAGCATCAACAAATCGAAGAGAATTGGTGCCAATAATTAACATAATTGCTTGTGAAGAATGTAAATAGGTTGAAATAGGAGACGATTGAATAAGTGAAAATGCATTAAGATCTGGACGTTGAGAATCAAACCATTTAAGGCCAGAAACAAAATGACTTGTGATTTTACAATGTGGTGTAATAATTGTTTGTTCAATATGTCGACCATGGCTATCAGCCAAAATAAAGTACGAAGGCAATTCAGGAGCAGGTTCTTGGTCGGGTGAAGAGTCAGTAGATTGTGGTTCAGGTGAATGTAATGGAATCGGTGCTTGTTCAGGAGGCGATGGTTCAGGTAATTGTTGTTCAGGTAAATGTGGTACAGGTGATTGTGGAGCAATCGATGAAATAATTGTTGATAAAGATGAAGTCCGAAGAGGACGGATGATCTCGTGGTTCAAGTGGAAAAGGAGTCGAGTTGGTGCAGATACGTCGTTGATGGCATAAGATGTCATATCTGTACGTGTAGCTATTGATTCAGATGTATTATTTGTTGTTAATAATGGATCGAGACCACAGGCCCAGGTATTCATTGTATGAAGCTTATTAAGAGCTTCATTAAAGGTGGACTTGATTGCCTTTTGAAGAGCCCACTGTTCGGTTTCCTTTTTGTAAGGACGTAGATCATCGGTACAAGTGCATGTGGTTTGAGTATTAATGCGTGTAGATCGAAAATCATCGAAATCGGACGTATTAACCATGCAAATAAGATCAACGTCTGAATCAGAATCGGAATCGGAATCAATGTCGATTTGGAACTGATGTTGTTGCGTTGGACATGAGGTAAGGTGAGGATGAGTGTGATTCCACGTATCGGTAAAATAAGCTTGAAGATTAATATGTTGTTGGAGTTGATGTATAGCAAAAAGTCCAAATGGTAGGAAATGTGATAATTCTTGACGGACATTACCCCAACCAACAATGTAATGATGAGGAGAAAAGATGTGTTGGCAAAGTTGTTGGATAAGGTGATGAGTAGGTGATAAAGGAAAAGGTAGAAATTGAGCTTCAATCAGAAGAACTGTTGTTGAAGTTTCGGAATGAATAGCTTCAATTTGAATAAGAGCAGGTAATGCTTCAGGTCGAAATTGTGTGGGTGGATCAGATTCAGTGTCAATAACATATACTGTAACATCACGAACGGCTTCCAAGACGGATTGAATAGTTGAATGAGGAGTAAGATGATGGATAAAGATAGGTTGATGGGAATGTGATGGAGGCCAATGAAATGCGGGTAATTGTTGTATTAATTGAGCATTTTGTTTAGCTTTTTTTGCTATTTTGAACCATCGATTGCGTTGAGATTCAGTAAGATTTTCTGGACAGTTTTGCTCTGTTCGTTGAAGAAAATGTTTATGTGGATTTGATTGAGGTTGTTGTGTGGAAGTAGATCGGGAGAATGAAATTTGACGTGATCGAGTAGATGACATAGTAGTAGGATTTGTATTTGGATGATTAGTCGAAGTAGATTGTGCAGATGAAATTCGACGAGTTTGAGTAGAGGTAAAGGTAGGAAAAGTTTCGGTCAAGTGACTGCTGTCGTCCGAGTTATTCGGAGACTGCATGACCGAGTTAAGATAAAGTAATGGAGGAAGCGTTTCAACTCGTCACGATTTTTGTTTTTAGGCTTTCGTAACGAATTGACAGTACGAAAGCCCGTAACAGAGCTTTCGTAACGATAGAATCAGGGCTTTCGTAACAAAAAATCCGAGGTTTCGTAACGAATTTTACAGGGTGATCGTAACTAGTGGTTTGATATGTGCTATTTTAGAACATCACGTCCTCAATTACGGTCATTTCGTAACAGCCCTGTTCAATTCGTTACGAAATCCCTGATTTTTTGTTACGAAATCCCTAATTCTGTCGTTACGAAAGCTTTGCAACTGTTACGAACTTCCTGTATTAATCGTTACGATCGTCCTGTAAATTTCGTTACGACATCCCTGTATTTTTGGATATCCCTATTTTTGGTGTTACGAAAGCCCTGATTTTTGCTGTTTGTTCAACTCGTCACGTGACGAGTTGAAACGCTCTCGTAATGGATAGTGGTTGATAGATATATATAAATGGAGGGAATGTGGGTGGATGAAAAAGAAAAAAAAACGAAATTAGTGAAAGAAAACTATACTGACTTTATCATATGATCGGAAGATTGAACGATAAATTGACGGAATGAATATAATCGACGATAATATAAAGAATAATGTTGAAAGAGAAAATCACTAAATGGAATAATGTATATGAATTAGAGTATAAATAATATGTTATCCTTGCAAAGAGAGGTTGCGACCTAACTGTCTTAAGGGACTGATCAATCCACTATAACTCTAGCTACAGATTAATCATTAAGACAGAGGTTAAGAAGAAAATGATAATAAGTGGATTGTAGTTTGTTGAGATGGCAGTATAAGTAAGAATAATATAGTTGAAATAAGTGAATATGTGAATGAATTTGATATAGAGGAATTTAATCAATATAAATTGGACGAAGATCAGCAACATGAACTTGTGACTTCATGTTCGTTTGAGGATCTTGCACAATATAAACAGGATGATTAACCGAAATAATAGTTTTCGGTATTGGAGAAAATTTGGGATCTAATTTGCCACGAATACCATAAATACGAGTTAAAACTTTATCACCAATATTGTAATGCGGATCGGGACGATTTTGGTCATAACGGTTTTTATTCATTGCTTGTTGGTGTATAATATTGTGTTTTGCTGCTCGATGAAAAATACGTAATGTTTTTTGTAGTTGATTGAAATAATCATTGGGTTTGGAAAAAGAAAAATATGGTGATCGTGTAGAAATAGGAAGACGAGGTGAACGACCATAAACGAGTTCATATGGAGAATATTTGGCGGTTTTGTGTACGCCAGAATTATAGGCAAATACAACAGCTTGCAAATATTCATCCCAATTGTTGTCTTCAGTATCTTGAAGTTTTGAGATTTGTGGAATAAAAGTGCTGTTGAAACGTTCGACGATGCCATTTGTTTGAGAATGATATGGCGTACTGTATATGTGATTGTATCCGATTAATTTTTGAATATTTTGCATCAGTTGATTTTGGAAATGTGGACCTTGATCACTGAGAATAGTACTTGGTATACCATATTTGCAAAAGTATTCATTAAATAAGGCTTGAGCGGTCGTTTCTGCTGTGCAGTTCGGTAAGGCGATGGCGGTAATATGTCGGGTGAAGTAGTCAGTTATCACAAGGACGTACTGATTTTCACGCGGTGTTGTTTTAAGTGGACCGCAATAATCGATACCAATCAATAGAAATGGACCTTCAGGTGGTGGAATCGGATTAAGTTGACCATGTCTTTTCTGACGACTGACATTATATTGTTGACAAGCAAGACAGGATTTGATATGTTGGAAAATAGAGAATTTCATTTTTGGCCACCAATAAAGATTTTTAATTTTGTGGTATGTTCGATCAACTGAAAAATGTCCTCCAGTCATAGGATCATTATGACAAGCATATAGAAGTGACTTGATCATAGACGATGGAAGGTAAATAACATTACGTTGAATTTTAGAATGAGGAGAGATTGTAATTATTTTACGAAGAAGATTATCTTTAAAGATAAATGGTAAATTATTCGGTTTGTGTTGAAGTCGACGAATAATATTTTGTATATTGGGATCACGAGCTTGTTCTTGTTGTAA